TTGAAGTTGAACTTTAAATTTCAGTTTTTCAAGTGTCTCTGAGGGGGACCACAGCTCTTTTTTCTTAAAAATACAGTAAAAAGGCAGTATCTCAGCAATAATAAGCTAGCGGCATGAACTTTTTTCAGAGAATTCATAGATCATTAGGATCTATATAGTGCACGTATGCTCGACTTAAAAGCGATGTGACACTTGGGAATGTTCCCTCGTGAGTCGAATGGTGATATTTCTTTTTCAGTTCGTTGCGAGATCAACATGAACCGAAAAAAAATTATTACCATTCAACTCAGCCGAATGAATTACTTCTGTCTAACTGTTAAACCAAGTGATTATAGGACAATTGGTTGAAATCAGAGATCCTAGGAAAAAGTTTATGAGTGTTGAGAGATCGAAGAAGAAATGGCTTTCGAACACCGTTTTGCATCAATCCAACTAGTAAGGCAATTGCTAATCAATCAAATTTTGATATTTTTTGACGTTGATAATTGTTTATATATTATCGTGTTTCACAATAACAAATCGATTGATATATTTTTAATTTTGAAATATAAACTTACTTTTTTCTAACATCATCTTTAGTTGACTTTGGTTTATTAGCAATTGAAATTGTACTAGCTATTGGATCTTTTTCTATATTTCGTTGAGTAGCACTAATATAATAATCATGTTTTTTGTTCTATTTAAATTTATTACTCTTACCAATTATCTTTCAATTTTATATAAGCTTTATAAAGTTCTTCATATTTTCTTTTTGTTTGATTATGTATTTCTTCACGTTTTCTTATATGAATTAATTGTTGTTCATTATCATGTACACTTTGACGAAGAAGATCACTAATAAGAAAAAAATAAAATTAAAATTAAAGAAATGTTTTTGTTTTTTTAAAAATTTTACTCGATATCTTTATTTTCTTTTTTTAGTTGTTCTATTTGTTTATCTTTTTTAATTATTTCATCTAAACTTTGTTGAAGTAAATATTGATAATGTCCTATTTGTTGATTAAATTCATTTTCACGTTTTTTTATATATTCATTCCATTGAAATTTTTCATATTCATATAATTTAATATGTTCTTGATATTGATTTTCAAGATGTATTTGTGTATTTGTTAATTGTTCTTTTTCATGTTCTAATTTTGTTATTAATAAAGATGATGTTAATTCACTTGGATCAGATAATTTTATACGTTTATTTGTTTGTATATCATCATTT